TGGCTATGCGTGATCTCCTTTATGTTTCTTTCCCCTTATAAGTTTCTAATGATGAAAATCTATATAGTATTTAGCTCTCAACTGGATATTGTTAAACTGACTTTTGTTAGCTAGGGGAAATCCAAGGAAGCATCCCGAATTCACCAGGAGACTTTATGCTATCCTCTTAAGGGTGTATAATTTTACATTTCTAAGAGTTTCGGTGATATAGCCAGCGTTCTGTGAGATCAGCTAGTTGCTGACAGCTGCTGGGTTCGTTAAGTTCGCGCATGCACCCGTTGTTTTGATGGCAGTAGGTGCGCAATAACTGGTGTCAATTTCGTTTGAATGATTGATAAGGCCGTTAGTGGTAGACCTAGTGACCGGACCGATTGGCCTACTGGCCTCTCATGGAAAAATTGTTTCACCATTTATTGAGCAGAGTTCTGAAGAAGAAAGATGGCATATCACCAATCGTTTATGTGTTTTGTATTCTATTATAATGCCCATAATTGTTTTGCTTTAAACACATAGCTCTACAGAAAGAATATTTCTTCGATTCTGAAAAGTTCCGATTCTTTGAAACAAAAAATATGCGTTGGGTCGCTGATCGACGGCTGACAACTGTGATGTTTCTATTAGCAAACACCTGACGTTGCGACGGCGGACAAAGCTGCGATGTTCTGAAATATGAGCCATTGTTGATTAATTTGTGGCGACGTTCGTATAGAGGGTGGTTCGGAAAATGGAAAACGTCACAAAATCGATACTCTCTATTTTTCATTTGAAATATTCGACCATAACCGAATGAATTCCTTTAGTCCGTCATCACGTTCGTGAAAGCAAGCTCGTCCCTGTTCGGAGAAAGATTCTAGCTTCGAGAGAAATCAACTTCTTCCCTCATTATTTAGAATCTTCATGTTTTCAACGGGTAAACGTGGGCTGAGGGAGTTTTATCTCTTTTAATCCTTCATGTTGTGAATTATTGGTGCTGAATTGCAATCAGGACATAAACGAGCGCTAACGAGCTGGACAGTTGCATGTTAAACTTCCTGCCAGCGGAGTAATAGTTTGCGTATAGGTCTAAGATGAATCTAATCCCACTACTTTCTTTAATTTAGTTGTCTGAACGGGCCTTGAGAGGTGAAGGGCTGTTAGAAAAGGGATCAGTAGACCAGGCTCACAATTAGATCTGTTTTCAGTTGGTTCCTTGTAAGAAGCCAAATGCTGCAAGGAGACTGTTATAGCCCACAACTTTTGCAAGTCGATAGGGTCGTGCCGATATTTTATGGTAAATGTGTGAAAAAAGGTGTTTTGATGTCTCATTCCGTTGAACGAATAGACAATTCGGCCGACACGCAGAAATGAACACGTCGAAGTGACAAAGGTATGAAAGGAATGCATTGGTTGAAATGAATGCCTGACGGTAAAAAACCAAAGTCTCAGCCTGGTTGGTGCACGTTGGGGTATTTTTCTTCCTATGGAGGTCGTTGACAAATTCCAGTGTCGGACATAGAAACAGTAGGCTCTCGAAGTTTGATGATTCCTAAGTATGCCTGATATATAGTCTGTGAGGCATCCCATTATTTCCTGTTATTTCAACACTTGCCTATTTTTGGAAAGCAGAGTCACCGGGCGTTGGCACAAGGTAGAGATTATCTGGGAGGGTTTCGGTTTGAGTTCTGAACCGGTTAGATGTGGGCGGCCAATAGTAGGCGTTTTTTCACAGGAATAGGCACCTATTAGGCCATCAAATGCAACTGCTATTTTAATGATTTGAGCAATGAGCTTTTAAGTGGGCATTTACTGTGGCAAGGTGATTTGATTCTTATATTCCGGTGGAAGGGAGTGTTTAGGAGCGTACATAAATAGTTATTGAATAGTACGGTGAGATGACGTGAGATTATCATTGAATCAATATAGATACAATAGATTGCTCCCTTTTTACATGTCCATCTCCGAAAGGGTACAGTCATGTCTTTTTCCCTCACAAACTACGAATTTCATTTTTCGAAGGAATCCGTTTTGGCAAATTGTTCTGAAGAGCCCTGAAACATGGAAGGTCGGCCCTACAAAAACCAATGTTACAATTCGTAAATAGCTTCAGCCTCTCATTCACTCATAGATTTTTCCTGAATTGATAATTTGGGCGACAAAATGTTCGTTGGAGGTGCTGCAATGGTAGAATGCAGAGAAAACGTAGCTTGGATACAGTCTCTGAGACCTTATGGGGTAGTACTCAACACAAATGGCCAGCCATGTATGTTACTATTAATATGTTTCGAAGCGAAACGTTCATAGTCACAACGCTCATCCTCTTTCCTCACCAGCAATCGGCGGGCGGTGTTCAGATGCCAGTCAGATCCGAAAACGAATTATAGTTGCACGGGAAGTCATTCAAATAATAATGATGGGGTCGCGTCGCTAGAATCGAAAAACATACTTGAATCTAATTGTGATGGGAGTTTTTCCTACACTAGCGTATTTCCAAAGCCCATTACAAATACCATCTGCTTCGCGCGATGCCACACGATTTGAAATATTCCGTTCTCCGTGACGTTCTGCGATAAATCAGAAGGTAACGTGGATGTCTAGTGGATTGGTTCGGTTGACAGATTGTTTCTTTGACGAAAAATCCAAATTTTGACAGAATTTGGGAGATTTTGGTGCCATTAAGTGGCACTTAACTTCAAAAGGTACTGCTACAGAATGCCAGTACCTTCTACCTCATGAGGGCTCATTTTGTAGTTCCTTAAAAAAATGCTCAGCACACTTGAAAAAGGCCGTTGGACGTTGTCCTACGAAAGCTAGGCCATCCATTATATAACGAGGGAGCTTCCTCCCCAATTTTAGTCGCTCTTTCGCTTTTGAGGATAGATTAGGCTCTTGTCACTGATGATTGAGGCAATTTCATCGGTCGTCTCAATTTTCAAGGAGGCATAACCTTATCCATCAGCAAGAGTGTCGAAAGCACTCCCGAAATTCAAGGGTTCCCGGAAGCATTTGCTCTTTTCCGAGTAAAGGTAGTTGTAAAAAGGGATGTTCGAGACTGTTACTATTCAGGCCTTTTGCAGTTTAAGAGTTTTATTCCATACGTTAGTCTGTTTTTGCAAGAATGAAAGCAAAAGTGGCTTCACCCTTTGTGCAGCTGCAATGTGTATAGTTGGGCAGCGAGTCTTTTGAAATCTGAACCTAATTACATCGCAGTGGATTGGTCATGAAGAAGGGATGACGTTTTCCAATGAGACATCCGCGTGAGGGGGCGAAGAACTTCGGGCTAGTAGCTTTCAAAGCTTGCGCAGGGGTGTGGAATAATACTCACTGAGTCGGCCATGGAAATGGTATCGAAAAATTATTGTGTAGCTAAGTTATAAAAGGCTGGCTAATTCCTTCAGAAGGCTTCGTAATATACATTAGCCTTCCTCTTCCCTTTTCGTTCCTATCCTTGTTTTTTTCCAACTTCTGACTCAACTTTTAGTTATCAGGTATGAATCGATTTTGCATACTGAGGCATCTGGCATTTACTTCGTTTCAAGAGGAGTTATTCTAATTTCCTTATACCCGAGAATTCCCTATGGAAGTCTGCTGCTGAATCTATAACAACTGAAAACTCAAGTGGAATATGTTTTCCAAGTTTTTGTTCGCCAAAGAAACTCTTCACAGATCCATAAAAGAAGTANAGCTGAACTCGTAGCAAATGTCAACTCTTGTGGCATAGATCTTTGAAGTTTTTGTTTGCCAAGGCAGCTCTTCACAGTGAGTGGAAGAAATATTTCCGATTTTCACGAAGGGAAGAGATCGGCTAGTGTCGTAGAAATTTCTATTACTTGATGGTGTTATCGAAAATAGGATTCGTTTTTACGGAATGCTGGTACTTTGCTCTTGTTGTACTAATCTAGCTTGCAGTTATTACTTCTGTAGACTGGTACTAGTAATCGTAATGAATGGATTATGGCTTAATCTTGTGAAATATACAATCCTTTACCATTTGATCAAACAAGGTTCGCGCGAATGTTCACTTTTGCCGTTTGATTTTGCCCCTTAAAGATAGGAATGCAAGCCGTGGCATCAGACCTTGTTGAATGTCGGGCCTTATCAAGGGTGCCTTTTTTGTTTCAAGGAAATTGAAAGGGAAATGAGTGGCATTCGAGTCTCTAAGCCTCTGACATCATTTCAGGTTCTTTTACTTTTTTATGTCTGCTGTAAAAAAACAATCGCAGAGGGTATTCGATTTTGAATGGGTTGGGTGGAATTGGGGCCGAAAGCCTTTGATAGCGTAAACAAGATTTGAAATTGTCCTTTGTGATGTCATATATGTACTGTAAATTGAACAAATCTCACCTAATGATAACACGATTTTCTCAATTACGCCTGCCAATACCAATAGAAAACAGTCGATAGCTCTTGGTTGGTCGTCGCTCTCGACGGCTCGGCGATTCTCTATGAGTCAGAAGGACAGCTGCCTTGATCATTTGCGATCGGTTAAAGAGTTCAAGGGTTTTCGGAAATCATAAAATTCGTTTATGGTCTCCTATGCGGTTTGGTGGTTCAAACCTACCCAACCATGCAAATGCTGACCTTGACGGACGTTCATCGCACTACACCCGGGACGCAGTCCATGAATAGCCGTAAAATTACCAGTATCGGTGGCAAAGAGAGTTTGAATAGATACAGTAGACTATAATTGGTGCGCAGCCTTGTGACAGTCTGCTGTCCATATATCTTTCAATGAATGGGGAAAGTCAAGTTAAAAGTGGGGGAACGTGCCTCTCCGCAGAGATTGTTTTCATATGTAAGCGGAAATTACTACTGATACTTGCTTTTAATGTGAGAGAGTGTTTTGGGAGATCGCAAACAGACCAAAGGGACGAATCTTATGATATGCATTGGAGCTACTAGTTCTGGGAAGTGCCTGCCTCGAAGCTTTTAATTATAGAAGGTTGAAGGAAGGGTCTACCCCAAATCCCTCTTTGCGGCTTCGCAGTGTTATATCTCAATAAATGCTCCACTAATTGTTTTCCATGCATTTAATAGCATGCAATTCATTGACACCCCGAATTTCGCGTCTATTTCAGGGCAAAGCAAGCGGAAACCAATGGGCGTTGTATATGAGAAGTTTCATCCAGAAGACGTTGTTTTCACTGGGTAACTTCGTGCACGCAAATTCGGCTACAGTGATTTTTACGGTGCTGATGTTGTTCTCCATTTGCTGCTATGGCCTTCAATTTGTGCACATTGAAACAGACATTGTGAAGTTGTGGGTGGCCAGTAAGTTATATTATTATTACTAGTAGTATTTTTCAATTGTTTAGTGAATCATATCGAGGAGGCGATTGAAAATTCATGTTGTTCCCTTATTCAGAAGGAGGCCGATTGGATGAAGAGTTGAACTTTTTATCAAGAATGAAGTCAACAATGAATTCCAATGACTCTAATGGTGGCTCGGAAATCGCTCGGGAGAACGGACTCGGTGGCGGTTACCAAGTGATCATACAAACGCCGGAATACGCGGGACAGAACATCCTTGATCGAGATCCCTTGCTGAAGCATGTGGACACAATGCGAGAAATTGCCAACTTCAGCATTGAATTGCATAATGTGTGAGTTCTGATGTTAATGATTATTTTACATTGCCCCTTCCGTTACTCCTTATTTACATGATGTTTCAAGAAGTAGAAAGTAGATTGGTTCAAGAAATGATAGAAAAAGTTTCCGAATAGTCGGGTTTGATTCTCAAATGGATTACCATGAGAGGTTGCAGTCCGTAAAGGGCTGCGGTTCCATTTTTCCTCTGCTTTTTCAAGAAACAGTCTTACTGGACTATTCTAGTCGACCGTTTCGTTTTTAGGGCTGTATGAAATTTTAAACTCGTCGAATGTTTTTGTAACAGCCGGGACCTGATTTGGTATAATTGAGCTTATAGATTGTTTAATAGTTCAGTTCGAGTTTCGCGGTAGTGCACAGCTGCTTTCCGAACCGCAGAAGCTTTAGTTTCTCAATGGGGTAGCTTAATCCTGTTCCAAAGAAAAGCTTTGATTACAGGGTGTCTAATTTTCCCGTGGTTTATAAATAGGAGTAACGACTTTTTTTCTCTGTATTCTGCGTACGTTGGGATTTGAAAGAGTCAGTTCCCGATAGTTATGTGTTTTACTGATGCTACTTTTTGGATGTGCTTGATCGACTGAGGGAGGGGTTTTGACAATTGAATTAGAAATGATGTCCAATCTTCGCTGTTTTTGAGAGCAACCACCATTCTAGTCTGTGCAAGGACGAGGGTAGAATTGAGGGTTGTCATCATTCCCCAACTTTTTTCAATGTTAAAGTGCACGCAGTGTAGTTGGTCTCTACGGTTGTTACTTTGTAGATATGAGGCTATTACCTGGTGGTTTACACGTCGTTCAGGGGCCATCCACAACAGAATAATTCAAGACAATGCGTAACGAGACGGAGATATTTTAGAACCTAAAACTTACCTAATAAAGCTTCGTACTGGGTATTCACTGTGGAGAAGTAGCGGTGATTGTTTAATTGTGAGATCATCGAACGAGGAGAGTCGAAGTAGTAAACATGGCGCGTCAGTTTACTTTTACGTTATTCTGTGTTAATTCGAAAGACACATGACATGCGCCCAGCTCAGAGTATTCAAGCCATTTTGCGTAAATATTTACAAATGGTGCGATTGGATCGGTGTGGTTTAGTCACGCTCTAAAAGGGGTTCTCTGAAGAAAGAAAAAAAGCAAACCACCCATTATGAGCATGAGTTATTGGAATATCAAAACTATCCGCATCATTATTTTAGGTCATGGTCATTGTCTGACATCTGCTTCAAGCCATCTCCGCCAGAATTGGACGGTCTTGCAGCTGAGATGTCCGATGTCATCGAGCGAATCGTTCCATGCATTTGGATCACACCAATTGACTGCTTTTGGGAAGGAGCGAAAGCACTAGGACCTCATCCACCAATTGAAACTAAGTATGTCTTTGCCTTTAGTACCGACATGTTTTGATATTTTTTCTTCATAGGGATGTTTTTATTGAAGTTCACCACATGTCATGTTTTGTTGCAGAGATCTCGCACTTTTGGCATGGTTGAAATCTATTCCGAATCGGAAGTATATTCAATGGACCGATTTTGACCCTATGGCCGTCATCGATGAGATCCACGAAATGTTGAATCTGGGCTCACATCATACATTCTTTGAGCGCGTGAGTTTATTTCTTCTACCCGAATTGGGTGTCACTCTACCTTCCTTCGCGAATTTTCTCTTTTGTCAACTAGGATATTTCATTTCAAGTTCTCTTTTCATTCTTCCATGTTGCTGCAGTTGTCAATATTTCTCTTTCTTAGCTTTTTCTCTTCTTCTTCGCTACTCTCTAAAAACTTACATTTTGATCTTGTTTGATTCAAGAGATTCATTGTTGATTCGATTTTAGGCTGGCGTAGGACATGGTTACCTTGATAGACCATGCATGAATCCACTGGATCCAGAATGCCCAAAGATGTCACCAAATTATTATGACGTCTGTCCCATGCTTGACCGCTTCCGCAGTTATGCGGAGAAGAACAACATTACGTTGGAGGCAGATGACTTCTCCCATGACGTTTACGAATTCGATTTTCTTTCTCTGTTCAGTGAGTTATCCTATGTTCTTTTCAACTCGTAGTCGGTCCTAGTTCTTTTGAATATGTTAATCGAAAGTGATTCAAGATATGGGAAGTAGACGTCGAAGAAAGAGAGACATCGACACATTAGATGCTCTACGATCGAATGATACTGAGGTCACGGAAAGTCCTACAACAACGACCAAGCCTGAATTGAACCCTGCTGATGCAGTCGCAGAATCCACTGCAAATGAGGAAGCTCAGCGTAAGGAGAAAGCTAAGAAAGCAGCCGCGGAAGGTACGTATCGGTCTTGAATCAATGCGAAAAGTAAGTTATTGGAATGTTGGTTTCAGAATGTAAGGCTTATCGTGGTCCAATGATGCGATGGATGTTTGACAATCCTGATAAGTGGTCTGAATTTCTTGTCATGGTAGGTTTTATCGATATTGTTTACGTTAGAACTATGCTCTAATTTTGTTCTTTGTTGTTATTTTGCTTAATTGAAATTCTTTTACAAAACGTTGTAACAAAAATAGCTCATTGGAGCCTATCTTAGTTACTTATAACCACTTAGTAAATGCGATTTTGAATGGAGACTTGATTGGCAAGGAAAAATATGAAGTTTCGCTACAGTCTAGAAGGGAAATTTTGCATTCTGAGAGTTTGCGTCACAGCTTTCACGCTTCCTTTATTTGTTTCATACGATAGTCGTTTTTCCTTTCTTAGATTCTGATGTTTCGTTGCCGTCATTAGGACGCGGTCTTTGCATGGTTTCTATTGATGTGATTTCAGTCCGAATATCCTCGATTCCCTGACTACGCACAAGTGATGTCAGGCGGTTGCCCTGGTTTCGCAGCGGGTGTTCTGCACTGGCCCGAAGACATGATCCTCGGTGGAGTAAAAAGATCAGCAAAGGGAGCGGCCATGGAGTCGGCTGACGCTTTGCAAAGTGTTTTCTTGGTGGCCAGCCCGAATGATGTGTATCTCAGATATAAGCAGAAAGTAAGGGCTAAATTGGAATTGACAGTTGTGTGAGGCCTGTAACGGCAACAAAGTGTTTGCAGGGAAATCGTCCATCAGCGAAACCTGAGTTGGATCAGCTCATTTGGAGTGAAAAATTTGCCGAGGAAGTCATTCAACAATGGCAGCGCAACTTCACACAAATGCTCTACAAACATCGCGCCAACTTCGATGAAGAGGTCAGAACAAATCAATTTGACAGTGGCTTTAAACGCAAGTTCCAAGTTGGATATCATAAATTCTTAGGATTTTTGTTGTCAGCTTATTTCATGCTCAAACTGCATGATTTTTAGGGATTCGAGCGTCGTACTATACACCCACTGGCATCCACGTCGATTGCTGATATGTTGGAAGAGTTCTGCCAGTTCAACTATAAGATCATCCTCGTTGGATATGGTCTGATGGTAAGTACTTAACAGTTTTCTTACGCTGAGATGTTGAAAATGAACAATCTCGGTAGTTTGATCGAAGAATTTTTGAAACCAAGAATGTCGGAAATATGCCTGAGAACGTAGGTAAAAGGGAGACAAAGAGATGTACGAAGGGTCTGTGCATGCTGAATAGAGCATTACTGAATTAACAGTCTTAGTCTTGATATGGGATGTGCTGGAAAAATAGCAAAATTCTGATATTCCGCTCTCTTTTCTTGCGAAGCTGAAATCTTAGGGTGTTCAGTGGCTGTGAGCAGCGCTGACCAGATGTCTCTAGAACGGTCGTATGAAGAAATTACTTTACATTTTGTCAATTCGCACGATCATTGCTTTTTACCATTACAAATGTAGTGAGTACAATACTTTGTCAGACTTGATTATATACGATATTCACTGGTAACAATATTTCCTTTTTTGCAAAATTTTGAATTGTCATCCTTTTAGTTGGTGTACGCCGTTTTCACGCAAATGAAACGTGATGGATGTCTTCCATCGTCTCAGTCTTGCATGGGACTTGCATTAGCCGGTGTACTGACAGTCACATACGCCTCGATTTCGGGACTTGGACTGGCCACCTGGTTTGGAATTGAGTTCAATGCTGCCACCACTCAGGTGAGTAGAATCGCGTGATGTTTTGATCGGCAAGTAATTGTTAGTTCTGGACGAACCACTTGATCGCCTTTTTTGTCTCAATTTTAACTACACATACTTCAGATTGTGCCATTTCTTACACTCGGTATTGGTGTTGACAACATGTTTATGTTGTTGCACAATTACCATGATGTGATGTCACTGACAAATCAGCATGAAATTGGTATTCTCATGCGTGAAACTGGAATGTCGATATTGTGCACATCGATTAACAACATTCTATCATTCCTCGCAGGTGATTTTCGTTTATTTCTCTGTGTAGGGCCTGAAGAAGGTCGTGGTCTATACTGGCCTATCCCCTCATTCAATGACTCAACAAGGAATGAATCATTAGGATTAGTAAACAAAAGCCTCTAGGGATTGCTTAGGCCTGTTTTTGGTGTTTGCAGAGTTATAACCACCCACATTTTGAAAGACATCCCCTCTAGATATCAGGTTTTAAAGCTTAACGGTGATTCATTGTTCACAGCTGAGCCATCCCGAAAGACTTCCTGGAAAAGCGATTGCATGACGGAGCAATTTTCATTCATCTTCAAATATTGTAAACCACCAAAAAGCATAAGGGGAATCATGTTTTCTCGGGACTTCATAAGATTATAATAAAAGCCTTTTCAATTCAGGAACTATGTTGCCCATTCCTGCGCTGCGATCGTTCTGTGCTCAGAGCTCTATACTGCTCACATTCAACTTTATCGCAATCCTTACACTGTATCCCGTAAGTAGATATTGTGTTGAAGAAGAGAATTTGAAGTTTACACCGTGCTCTTACTTACTGAAGGTATTCACCGAATACAGCTACTTTCTTTTTTTCAGGCAATAATTTCGATCGACTTGCGACGGCGAAAAGCCGGCATGCGTGATGTGTTCTGCTGCCTTGTGGGTGAGACTCGGCAAGAGGCATATTCAATGATAACTAAGCCGCACTTCCAGGTGGGAAAATTCGTGCTTCCGTCCTTAGGATTCAGCCCAGGAGATTTGATTTTTTGGGACCATAATGATTGCTTTAAAGGAGAAGCGCACAATTGGTGAGCCCATTCCGCGGATCATCTCATACAAAGACGTAGAAGAAGAGCCTGAACCAGAATCTCTTTCTCTTCACTCACTTATTCGGAACTATTACATTCCATTCATAAATAGGAAATGTGTGAAGGTAGGTTTAACAAACATCTATTTGAAATTTTAGGTTGCTCTTTTTTACTTTTCCACCTTCTAGTGAAGTTTTGTGATTACAGATAGGTGTTCTGAGCGGCTCTTTCGCACTACTAGTCCTAGCTGTAAGTGGAATGCAAAGAGCAGCTATTGGACTCGAACTCAGCGATGTTCTGCCGGAACACACTGCACCAGCCAAATTTCTCCAAGCAAGGGATAAGTACTTTAGGTTTGGATTTCGGAACGTTTCTTTTTAGACTGTCCTTAATATGAACCTGGAATTGTAAAGTGGTGAGATCCATTTGAGATCAAAATTGCGTAGAAAAAAATTGGGCGACTCTTGTTAATTTTTAATTTTTTTTTCTAGTTTTTATCCAATGTTCGCTGTGATCAAAGGACCGAATATTGATTATGCCGTGCAACAGCAACGAATTGACAAGTATCGGAGAGCTATAGGTTCGTTTGTACCTGATTTGTAAAGCGTAGTTACGCAGAGAAGTGTTTCGCTCATTCTTTATGGCATGTTGAATTTTATAGTGATCCCTAGACAAGGCATAATTAATTGATTGCAGCGTCATCCAAGTTCGTGATAAAAACGAAATCGGGCGAGCCTTCGGAGAAGTACTGGCTTGGAATGATGCGGGACTGGCTCGCTAGCATTCAGAAGGCCTATGACGATGAACTCGCACTGGGAAAGTGAGTGAACTTCTCTTTACACTACTGTAATTCGATTAATGCGCGTGCTGTTAAGATATAATGATTAAGGACAGGTTGATTTCTCAATCAAGTAGGTGCATTTTGATTCAAGGATAAGAGAATCGCGGTTGACGTTTTTCACCAAAGTCTTGGCCAATGCTTTGATTGAATACTGTATAAGAAGTGTTGGCTTACTGTAGCATGACACGAAGCGATTTACATAGAAATACTGCTCCTTCTTTGCCCTTGGAATATATCGCTTCTCTCTTTTAGGTTCAATCTGACGGACGGTGAACTGAAAGGTAACGTCAGTGAAGATGCTGAGATTGCCCACCGCCTCATCTGTAGTGTCGGTCAGAAGTATCAGTGCGAAGGAAGGGTGAGCACTGTTTATACTAATCATTTGGAGCGTAGGAGTCAAAAAAACACTTTGACAGAATCTCTCTTGTGCGGTATCATAGCGATTTTTTATAGGTTGGTAAGGTACGATTGGTTGACGGCACGCAAACTATAAACAATGACGGTTTCTACAATTATTTAACAGCATGGTACAATCAGGATAACATGATGTAAGCTTTTTCGCTTTGGACATTTATAATGTTTTTTTTTTGTTTTCATTCACTTACTCTATTCCGACTTAGGTATTACGTGTCCCAAGCGTCTTTCTATCCGACTCCTCCGAAATGGTCCATCACCGACAAGAAAGCACCACTGCTGGTCCCACCAGCTGAACCACTGGCGTACTCGCAAATACCTTTCTATTTGACTGGGCTCACTGATACACCAGTCATCATTGAAATGATCAAGGTTGGTTGGATGTGGGGCTTCCACTTTAATTCAAACTTCTCATAATATGTTTTATGAGCATACTGTAAATGTGGTTTTTAAAGGAGATCAGATCCACTTGCGATCGTTTCGTTGAGGAAGGTCTTCCTAACTTCCCCCAAGGAATCGCGTTCACGTTTTGGGAGCAGTACCTTCATCTGAACGGCAATCTTTTGACGGTGAGTTTTTAAAATGGCGAATAGGCTCTTTCTTTGCTTAGAGGCTTTGTCTATTCGTTGTTTTCAACTCATCAAACTGAATTCTTTTTTTTGTGTATTTTGAAACTATCCACTCACTGTTCCGTGTCACTAAGGTACATCGCTTACTGCTTCGCATAGGAAAAAAACGACGAATTTTACGCATGTCTTTAGCATAGTATCGTGACAAAGAGCCAGAAATTGAACGCCTTAGACCTAACCGTATTCAGTGCTAAAATCTGTTCAAGTGAATATGGTGTAGAATTCAAATCTTTTACGGTAAGCTTCAAAAGAGGAGGGGGATTTGTAAGAAAATTTAGACCTAATTTGAAACATTGTGGGAAAGCCACATACTCGATACCCTCTTCTTACCTTAAATTCGGGATTTCATGCTGGTGGCGCTATTTTATGTGGAGATTCTTCATTTGAGTGATTCTTCATTTCTTCATTTTCATTGTTTTTAGCTGAAGCCCTTATGAAAATTCGTGTTTGCAGGCGATCGGTGTCATTGCCATTTCGATTCTTTTGTTTAATCCATGGGCGGCGCTCAATATTTTGATTATTCTTGTCGGTGAGTGGAAGACTCATTGTCACTATGAAGTCAAATTCGCAAGCTCTGGTCTTGCGGCAGTGCTTCAGTTTCCGAAGTAGCTTGCTTTTTACACGCATAATACGCATTTTCAGTGATGACAGTCGAGCTGGCTGGTTTCATGGGTTGGGCTGGAGTGAAGATGAACCCCGTATCTGCGGTGACGTTAATCACGGCTGTTGGAATTGGTGTGGAGTTCACTGCACATGTTGTCTTAGCCTACTTGACATCTCTTGGAACGAGGTAAGAGATCCATAACTAATATTTTAAAGGACTGATGATTGTTGTCATTTTGTACTGCGAAAGAAACTTGTTAGTATACCCATACACGTTTTTATGTAGTTTCCTGGCATACTTTAAACTTACAATCTTTCTGTCGTTCCTTTCGTCGCCGACCAATAAGCCAAGCCATTATTCATAGAATTAAGAAGAGAAAAACTCCTCAACTTCCTTCTATTACTTCTTACTCTTATAATCTTTCTATTCCCTTATTACTAATAGCAGCTACTGAGATATGTGAAACCTTTGCTTCTTTTTTCACCGACTTTTTAAATCGTTGAGGATTTCGCACGAAAAAGCTTCCAAAGAGGCTATGCTGATGTTACAAAAAGATAGGAAACTAAAAGACCGTGGTTCAAAACACATGTGATGTTCAGGGTTTTTGGGAATCACTTTTTTCATTTGTTCAGATCTGAACGTACATCGAGTGCTATCGATCGTGTTTTCGTGCCTGTTATCCATGGAGCCTTGTCGACGTTACTGGGAATCCTCATGCTTGGATTCTCCGAGTTTGAGTGAGTTCATAATTAACTGTTTGTCTTGAAGCCTGATCGCTAGTAAACAGCCATTTGAGCCAGCTCTTCAAGAACCCCTAGTCAGTGTGGCAACAGATTTCGCAGCGCCCGGATAGCACGTTTTCTGTTTAATTTTTGTACGGCGAATCCCGATTTTCAGATTTGTCGTCAAATATTTCTTTGTCGTTATGTCAGCCTTGATAGTGATAGGAGTGATTAATGGCCTGATACTGCTGCCGGTATTGCTGTCATTGATGGGAGCGCCTCAGGAGGTAGTTTCAAATGGCTTTTTTATTATTCACTTCTTTTGATCAACTTGATCTTTCTGATAGTGCCTTTATAATCTCGCCCTTTGCCATTGTAACCCGGATACTACAGACTTTGGGAAAAGTATTGTAAAATTAGGGAATTGGGGTCGATAATGCTTTGAATGGGGTCACCCTTTCCAAGCAAACAAAATTCAAGTCTCAGTAGAGGGATGGAAGGGCGACGGAGGAGCTCATAAGAAAAGGTCGAAGTAGGAAATACTGGAAACATGGGAAATATGAAAAAAATCAGGAAGAAGGGGCCAGTGTCACGCATAATGGTAGATCCTTCAGCAAGAGTGAAACCTCGGTGGGGATCCAAATTCATGCAGTAATCTCATAACTGTTTCATACACTAATTACCTACTTGTCATTAATAATGTCTACGTTATTTTACGATGAGAGATAAAGGGATTACGGTGATAGTTCGGATCCTTACTAAATTTCCAACCTTTTGATCCTATGTTTCATGGGCCGAAGGTAGTTGGGTTTCTATGATGGGATTTGTTATTTATGGAATGGGCATAACAGCGAATAACATTGTCATCTTGTAATTCAAGTATAAACAGTACCATCTAGGTATTCTCCATGGACGGTAAGGCGCGACTCAATTTACCTCCACCAATTCGTCGTCGTGAGACAGAAATCGAAGAGGACGATGAGGGCTTAATGATGGTGTCACGAGGTGGTCGGGCGTTCCGTAACATTGCAATCTGATGAAGCCTGAGCTCCTGTACGCTCGGTTTTTTTCTTGCTTCAACGTACCGTCACGTCTTCCGTGCGGAGTCTATGCTGGTATTCTGATATTCTGCCCTGCCTAATGTCTTTTTTTATAAAAGTTTCGGTAATGTTTTCGAGTCGATCATTTTTGTTCATCCTTTCATCGTTTTAATAATCTCTTTTCTAAAAAATTTGTTGCCATTTCTAATCTGCTTTTGTTCCTTCACCCCGCTTCCTTCTTTCCCAACACGCATCTGAATTCAGGTATTAGATGTGTATATCGATAGAATTCTCTTTCTGCTCAACGATAACTTGTAAAGTGTGCTCGCAAGTGCAATGTTGTGTGTATGTCTGTCCATGTGCTTGTAGAACTATTGACGCGTTGTGTATCAAGCTTTATTCGCCCCACCTCCTGTGTATAAATCCAAGTCCGATCCGGTTCTGAAACGAACCCCCTCCCCACCCCTTCATCCCACCTTGTTTTTGTCTTTGTCCGTACATGGAGCTTCTCAGAAAAGCTCAATGGCCCATCTCTCTCAGAACCAGTGCGCAGTCATAGATAAATTTTAAGACGGGCAGTCATCGATCTCTTTCATTCTGAGGTGGTCACCTGATGATCTTCGTAGTGCTTGTAGATCGATGACCGCTTCAATATTTAATTTAAAGTTTTATGCCTTTTGAATGTGTAATGCGTACAGAGATCTCTTTACGATGTTTTATCTGGTATTGATTGTTGTATAGATATATATAATAGGTACGGCTTGTATACCATGCGAAGTAAGATATCTTGAGATTGTAGTCGATAATTAATATTGATGGGCCTCCATTTTCTGGTTGGAGGAACTGAGCCTGGTAGATCATCTCCTTCCCGGTTCAGTGATTGAACCGACATCTTTGCCCTAGAGTGCTGTGTAATTTTATTCGGTTTATAGATTGATCCGGTGGGTAGTTGTGTAAACGGTGATATCCACTCCACCGTTACACGACCTCAAGTCTCACATCTTCGAAATATTGTACGATCTGTGTTATAGCGGTTTAATGTATTTCCTTGTTTCACGTTTTGTTAAGGTAATAAAGATGATTATTATGTGCCTGGCGTATACCAGAATGATGATCGGTGCTTGACTAGTTCAGTTTTGCCTGCAGGAGACTGGGCGCTCCTCAAAAATCATGAACTAGTGCTGGGTCAAGAATGTAGTCACTCTGAAAGGATTACGGTAACTTGTTGATTACAATAATAAAAGTGCAGCTGGGAAACTCGCTCCTGGGTTCCCTATCTCCATTTTTTCCAGCATGCGAAGGCTTCGCTCTAGAATGGGGTACATAGCAGCTCCTTTTAAGCTTGCCCTCTAACACCTCGTATCAGCTCTTATCAACTGCTATCACATCCTGTCACTCGTCACTCATCTCGGAGCCCATTTCAAGTCACTTATCACGCCTAACTGATGTTTCACGATTAATTCGATGTGCGCCCGGAATCCAGTTTCATTTTGCCTCGTGATGCCCTTATCAATCCCTATCAGCTGTTATCACTACAAAGTTCACATTACCCAATAAGAAAATGCCCCATTTGGGCAATCAAAATGGGCAGTGACTGTCAGCAGATTGAAAACGGTCGAAATAAAAATTAAGGGGACGTTAACATATTGTTAACCAACAATTCAGTCTCAAATTATTAAACTCGGAAAGCTCAACTCCTCTGCGACGTTTCTGAAGGTGGATCTGAGTGTAATCGCATATCGTTCAAACTGTAGAAAAAACGCTGGAACTGTGATAATGAGGCAGCTCGCCCGTAACTGCCGCGTGCAGCCAAACAATTTCACAAAACCGATTCATTTGCTCGTTTTCCTAAAGCTAATGGTAGAGACGAGTCTTCAAGATGGCCTTTCATCTTTGCTTCTTTTAGAACTATCCTTCCACAGCTAAAATGCTGATTCCTCACGTGCAACATTTTCAGTCATAGGGAGAGGGGTGTTTGGATGAGCTATACAATGTGTGTCATTGCGTGTGTGTGGGTCCTGGCGCTAGTAGGTGACTACAGTAAGCAAAAATGTCCTTCAAAATTACTGGCTCATAAGAATAAGCAAACGAAAACACTGTTAACAGCAAAATTAACCCACCGTTTTCATCCTCTTGAGGTGGAAAACTTGATAAATCTGCAGCAGCAAATAGAATAACGGTGGATAATGGAATAGGGGTAAAAATCGTCTCATCATTCGGAGATCATCTGATTGCGTGTTGGATGTGTGGGTCCTGGCAAGAATATTGCCATCTGCAGCGCCTCTACCACTCGTCTGACACATCGGTTGATGGGCGTGACATCCGACCGATCCGGTAATGGACCTTCTATTGTGCCCTAGCCTCGAATTTTCGGGCCTGGCAGTATCCTTTCTGTTACCCGAACAAGCGAACAAATGGAACGAAATCAACAAAGAAAAAAAATAGTAATTTGGAACAGATCAAAGAAATGAATAGTCATTGATTTCTCTTAGCTTTCGCGATATTAGGAAATTGCAATTTTTTTAAAGCCAATCACAGACGCCACCTAGGTCTTTTCCACCTGAAGAAGGTTAACAGAAACAAGAAGTTTTGATTAGATTTGATTTGAACTTATAAATGAACTTTTGTTCCAACGTAAAGGAAATATTACTTGATACGTGTCATAAAACGTATCATATATATATACAATTAGATTGCTAAATAAATATTACTTTGCTTGTGTTTATGAATGGATGAAGAGTTTTTGATTTGGTATTAATTTCAAAGGTTCGTATTTTCAGAGAATGCGCTTCTTCAAAGATTCCATTAGTTCCATTGATAGAGATGAAATAATCCTCCGCGAAAGCAAGAAATCAAGATAAACGTCTCCGCAAAAAATATTTCCCTGAAAATCATCTTTCATAGAGTAAAGAGTGCTTTTCTGCAAAGCGGGTAACTGGGAGGTATTTTTCATTTATTTATTTATTGTATACGCCATATAAGACAGCGTTGAAAAGGAAAACATAAACAAACGCCAGCAACACAAAACATTACAATAGAACGACAAATTCTAAGAAAAAAGGTGGCAGCTATGCTTGTAGGCGGAGCCAAATAATTATGCAAACAATCCCTCTATTAGCCACTGAAAAATATTTCTACGAAAAATTTCCGTGAATCCATGACTAATAGTATTCGTAATCGATGCCATGGTTTTATAATATCATAATTCCCTTTTATCGATACTTATAGAGTTTAATACGATAATTGCATAATCAGAGATTTGAGTAATCATCGGGGATTCACTGAAAATTTTTCCGTAGAAATTGGTCAGGGAATAGAGTGGAATCAGTGATTCAGTTGTAGTAAAGGCTGCACGTAAAGCCACGAGATATACGTTACGGCNATTTTCAAAGAATGCGCTTCTTCAAAGACTCCATTAGTTCCATTGATAGAGGTGAAATAATCCTCCGCGAAAGCAAGAAATCAAGATAAACGTCTCCGCA